CTGCGTGCGTCACACCCAGCCACGCCAGGTCCACACCCAGCCCAAGGAACCTCCACCCACCCACACACCCACCCACCCCACACCCACACCCACCCCCACCCACATCCACCCTCACACCCGAACATAAAGTAATGATTACACTACTATTGGACTACTCTAAATAATTCAAGCAATTTTTTTTCTTCATACTAAAGCTTCAATTAATTCTACAATTTCTGATCTATTGTCTGTTTCTTTCATTTTTTTGGACATTATTTTCAATTTTTCTGTTAATTCTTTATCAGCCAATAATTTTTCAATTGCATTCAATAGCTCTTCTTCAGAACAATAATAAGCATCCAATCGAATACCATATCCTTTTTCTTGCAAACGTTGTGCATTATCAAATTGATCATAAAAAAGTGGTAAAATAATTGATGGTTTACCAAAATAAAGAATTTCATTGATTGTACTATTACCACCATGCGTAATTACTAAGTCTACTATAGGTAAAATTTTTATTTGTGGAACCACTTTTTCACCCCACATATTATCAGGCAATGCATATTCATCACCTAATGGACCTTTTGAGATAATAAACCGATAAGGAGATTTTTCTAAAATTTCTATTAATCGTTTCATTAATGATAAATCTGCAGAACCTATGGTACCCATTGACATATAGATTAGTTTTCCTGGTTTATTGGCTAAATTTTCTGATAATTGAAATTCATCCTCTGATTCTGATGTTCTTACTGATGCATTACATCTAAACCATTTGAGTGGACTTGGTCGTAAATCAGTATAATCTATTTCTTCAGGATACAGATAAAGATTTAGATAAGGTCATGAATTTTGAAAAAATGGCCACATTTGTTTAGTCAATGGTGATGCACTTTGTTCTATTAACCATTGATTAAATTCTTCCCATAAAGGTTCATAAATTCTTTTAACTTCTTTTCTAAATCTATCCCATTGATTACGATCACTATCAGTTGCATAACCTGAATTACGAGGTGAACAATTTTCTTCACTGAGACCTAATGGATTAGCTGAAAATAACCAAATCCATGGTACTCCTGCTGATACTAATGATGGTTGACAAACATAATGATCAATAATAATAATATCAGGTTTTACTTTCTTTACTAAATCACGAAGAAACGGTTCACCATTTTTAACCATATTTACAAAACTACATTGAGCATGATGGTGAAAAATTTCTAATTGACCATAAGAATTTTTTCGTAACTCATTACCAAGAAGTTTAATTGTATTTGTATGTATTTGTGATGGTATTGTTTCTTCACCATACAAAATTTCCTCAAAACCATAAGGTAATAATTTTCCTTTCCAACCTGTTGTTACTCCAAAGATAATTCGATGTCCACGTTTTTTAAGTGCTTCAGCTATTCCAATACAACCATAAACATGACCAAATCCATCAAATGGTGTAAAAAGAATCGTTAATTGTTTTTTTGATGATGATGAACACATTTTTTCTTGTACTTGTCACTGTTATCTAAAAAGAAATCCTCATATTATAGTACTCCGAAAAATATTTCATACCATTATATCTTACGCGGACTTTCAGGATAGGCTTTCTCCCAAGATATGGATTATGTGGGGTGTTGGTTATTAGAACTTGGAAGTACTCTCTTTGGACTACAATTCTATAAAAAAATCAGCGTGGGATCTCCAACAACGGCTCCAGGGCACTCACTGCAAAATATGAA